CGCACGTGACCCTGGTAAAAGTTTCGGACTAATTCCGGATTAAAGACGGACAGATTAGTGAAATGATCCGAAATCAATATGTAAAAAATACGGAATCAGTCCGCAACAATCCGAATTTAATTTAGTTAAAAAAACTTAATCCGCAAAATGTCCGAAGCAATCCGAATTCTTTAAGCAGAAGTCTGATATTAGTCCGCTTAAATTTAGAATTGAAGGGTGGCATGACAAAGGGGTCAAACAACAATTTTTCGAAATTGAGATTTTTTCATAAAAAAATCAAGTAAATTCATTTACACAGTTATGTAAAAGTATTTTCTTGTAAATTGTTTATTAAACTCGTTTTTAATAAAAATAATAAAAAATAGCCTAAATTTTTACTTACAATGCAATTCAGTTAAAAGCAAAAGAAATGAATAGGTATTATTATGAATAGGTTAATATGGTTAAAAATATTGCTTTCTTTTTGATATAATTTAATATATATTAAATTTCGCTGAATTTTTTGTTGTCTATTTGAAATAGTTTTATTCTTTACCCAATTTTCAATAATTTAAATATTATTCTTCTGTTAATTTTAAATATTCCTGTTTGCAGTTTGATTTGAAAATTTGTGTACGGTTTACTATCAAAAGTTAACATTTAATTAACAATTTTCTTGAAAACAAACAGTTTTATTGAAGCAAACTTTTTTGCATTCAATTCGTCAATTCAATATTAAAAAACTAATTTTTCAGTTTTTCTTTAATCTGTATATTTTTTTAACAATTAATTTTATAAGAAAATATGCACATTTGACGTAACCCCAAAATGGTCCACTTTTACTTATTTTTCCCTCTTATATGTATGTTTATCTTCATAAATTGTATTTCTACTGGTAAAGTGAAGTAATATCTCTAAACTGTTTTTTTTAGATTTTTCTTTAATGACCAGAAAAATTTTTAAAAGTGTTATTTTCGATTCCTATAATAACATGAAATTGTTGCTTGAACCCTTTTGTCATGACACCCTTTAATTAGTGTTGAAAATTCCTAGTCCGATAATTGTACGAAGAATGTTCGAAACTGATCCGCGTTATTTTATCATCATTCCGAGCGAAATTATAAATCCTAAATCAGTCTAGAGTAATCTTGAATGTGTATGAATTAAGTTCGTAATTATTCCACAACAATACGAAATTATGTCCGTTAAAAAATTTATTTAAAATAAATACGGAATAATATGTAAAGAAGTCAATATGTAAAGAATACGAAATCAGTCGTCAATAATCAAAATTTAGTCCAGTTAAAAGATTTAATCCAAAACAAGTATGGAACAATCAATAATCTGTATGCAAAGAATCCGGCCATATAGTCAGCGGAACTCCGAATAATATCCTAACAAAACACCTCAGTCCGAAAATAAGTCTTATTATTATAAGAATTTGTAAATATGTATATATAATCCACAGACAGTCCAAAACAATTCATATTCAATCCAATTCAAAGACAATCCGGAATGATTTTTGTATAATATTGAATTTGTATATAAAAAATAATTTATATTAAATTAAATTTGTATTAAATTCAAACTATAATTATAATTTCGTATCACAAAAAACCTGACCAAAACCAGATTATTTCCGGATTTAATAATTTCACATTTGCAAGTTGCGTATTATCAGACTAACTTCGGACTAGATCGGACTAATTCAGGATTCACTGGTTTTATACACAAACCGCATTGAGTTTGGATTTATCCGGACTAATTTCGAGCGACAAAAACCTGACCATATGCAGACTCTTTCGGATTACCGGATTACTTCTGCATTTACTACCCAGTGTGCAAGTTCCGGAACAATTCCGGAACCGTTCTGTAACTGTTCTTTATTTCCATTAACTGTTACAGAACAGTTCCAGAACGTGCACACTGGGTAGTTGCTTATGATCTGACTAACTTCGGACTAAACCGGATTAATTACGGATTCAATAGTTATAAAAAACGGTATTGATTTCAAACTTAATTCATGGTGAAAAAACTCCACAATAAACCGTACTGTTGCGGACAAATTCCCGATTAGTCCGAAATCGGTCCCACTTTTTATTCAGGGTATTTACTTATGGTAAATAAAATATTTATTTCTGCAGTCAATTTGTTTTTACAAATTTACTAGTATTATTAGTTATCTTGTTTCAATATTATAATTAACACTGATGTGTTAGTTTTTTGTCATTTCTTTTCGTGGCACTTCATAAATTCTATTATGAATTTGAACTCCCATGCGAGCGTGGTATATTGGTTGGTGTATTCGATTTCGGTGCGATATAATGTTAGATAGGTGTAGGTTCGAATCTCTAAGCGTTACACGGAAAAAATTAGTTCAGTACATTTTACGAAACTAATTTCGCACTAGCGGATATTTAAGATTCCTTAACGAAGTTTTTCATAAACTCAGAAACTTTCACTACTTTAAGCAGAACAATTTTGGAGAAACTGTAACCAGCTTTGTAATTTCTAAAATACGTGTTCTACGTGTTCTAAATAACACGTTTGAGTTTAATCTGCTCAGTTAGTATATAAAGAAACTCAATTTTTTCAAAAACGACATTCTGAGTAACATGATTTGAAGGGGGGTGACCCATGTAATGGGTTCCAAAAATCGAAAAATTTTCTTTATTATAAATTGCATCTTTATATATGGTCTTGTATGCTTCAGACATCGCAGATTAGTGGTAAATCATAATTTCATAACTTGATTGGTACTTGAACCTATAAACTCGTTTTTCTCGAAATTACTTCTTTTAAATGGTCGCCATGACATTCTGGAAATTCCAAAGTTGTAAGTTTTAATCGCTCTCCAAAAAAAATTCTCAAAAACGGCCGTCACACGGGTCAACCATCTTAAGTCTCTGACAAATTTACGACGTAAATTAACAAGGTAGGGGAACATAGTCTAGGTCGGCCACCTTTTTGACTTTTGTTTATAACTTTTTTTTAAAAATGAATTTGGATAATTGAAGTATATGGTTGGAAAGTCCTGTTTAATAGGAACATCTTTTCTGTGCAAAGTAAATTGAATGGTTTTAAAATGAAAAAGTTATAAAGATTTAAAAAAAAAAATTGTAGTCGAGGTTGGCCATTACAGTCAAGGTCGGCCATGTTTAAAATTCAAAGGGCATTAATCGTTAAAAAATAAAATAACATGTTTGGAGTTACGGAAAATTGATTCTTTATTGGTTACAGTTTGTAACTTAATGAAATAACAAAATAATAACAATAAACAATATAAAAAAATAAATATAAATAAAAAAAAATTTTGCACTAAAATATTAATAAAATTAAATAAAAATATTAATAAGATGATGAATTATATTATGAGTTATACAGAATTGCAGTTTTTGCAAATGAAGTAGCTCGTCCTCATCTTTGCGCATTTTAAACACATAGTGGCCGACCTTGACAGTAAGTAACATTACCGAATTGTTGTAACCATAAAGAAATACGTTTCGGGATTCGATTTTTTACTTTGTTTTTCTTTCAACCATGAGTCCCACAAATTTTCTGCATACTTGCCTTGACGATTCAATTTGTTTTTTATCTTTTATTAATGGTTTTTCAAATTATGCACAAAACTTTTTTTGAGCTTTTTTTTGTACCGACGTCACAGAAAACACAATTTTCGATTTTCCGAAAATGTAATTGAACAAAAAGTTAGGTTACACTAAGACAAGCTTCGACAAGCATGCGTGTAGGTGGCGCTAGTGAACTTGTCCAAAAAATCGCGATGGCCTACCTAGACAGTAGACCAACCTTGACTACATTCCCCTATATAAAAAAGCCTATATAATTTGACGAAAATCACAAACGACTTTCACAACGTTCATTATAATTAATTAGACATTAACCACTATTTTCTATATATAATAATAATAAATGTATTTTGCTTCCTCATAGAGAAAGCATTGTATAAATATTTTAAATAAATAAATAAAAATTTCTATGTAATTTGAGCTCAGAAGTCCAAAAAACGTGTTTAAAAAAATGTCCGGATGGCGTGTATGTGTACTAACATTACATTTGCCTCAATATCTCAGAACCAAGAAGGGCTAAAAGCTTCAATTTTTTTTAAATTGTAGGTCTCCTCGGGGGACACAAAATGACAGTATTTTCAGCGCGATTCACAAAGTTTAACTAATTTTTTTTGCATTTTTAATTTTGCAAAAAAAAAGTTTTTTTGGTTATAACTTTAAAAAAATGTTAGGGCACCTATAAATGTTTTTTCTTTGTTTTGTAGAACTTTTTGAGACGCATCTTTTGAGTCCTCATTGAACATTTTTCGTCCATATTATCCGGAGATATTAAACTTTTAAAAATCTAAATTTTTGGAAAATAAGACTTTTGAAAATTTTGTTGAAAAATGTAAAATTAATTTTTAAATAATCATTATATACCAACTTGCAGAGCATTAAAAAACCCTTCGTTGGCCTATTTTTCAATCTGGTTCGGTCAGAAATTATGAAATTATTGGTATTTTAAAAATAAAAAATTGGCGAAAATATAATTTTATTTGTTTATCTAATATATTATTGTTAACATCTCTAGGAGGAAGCAAAGTGTTCATGAAATGAACTTGGCAGCGGTTTTTAGTCATGATGTAGGAAGTGCTCTCATTAAAGTTTTAAAAAGTATCAATTAGCATTTGTCTTGGAAGAATTGGTCGATCATGGTACTAAGAACTGTAGTTTTAATTACACAATCATTTGTAACTTATTTTGCAGGCATTTAGGATGTATAGGAAGGAAATGTTTTAGGACAGAACAAGACGACATCAACAAAGTGTATGCTTGAAATTATACATTTATAATTAAACACTAAAATTATCTTTGGTAAGCGTTGTTTGTAATTTATAAATATATGTCCACATATATTAATATATAATATTTCATTTATAAGAGAGATCAATTTATAACTAATTTATAATACTTTAATAGAATAACAAAATTTCTCAAACTTGTTACGTACATGAAATTTTTAAGAGAGATCAATTCATAACTAAATTATAATACTTTAATAGAACAACAAAATTTCTCAAACTTGTTACGTACAGGAAATTTTTTAATTTAGAGGTTGTTAAAGTATAGTTCAAATGGAAAAACAATAAAACTTCTTACATTTATAATAGAGCTGTGCAAAATTCGGTTCGAATTATTTTGCACAGCTCTAATTTATAACCAAAACTGTTTTCTTTCATTAGTACAAAATTTTGATATTTGAACTAATTGACTCACTTAACGTTAAAAAGATAAATTTGTCTTTGCAAGTATGAAATTCTTTTCATCTGGGACAATTTTGTCACTGGGACATCCCACTCACTTAGTGAGAGTGTCTAAAAAACTAAAAGTGGTAATTTTGCAAATCAACTATTATAAGAAAAAATTATCCCACCATTGCCGGGCAATTAAAAAAACTCGGGGATTTTTTGGAATACTAAACAACGAACAAATAAAAAGAAATGATTGGAACCATCTGGTTTTAAATAAGTAATAAAAAATTTCTTAACTTTGTTATTAACCATTTTCAAATGGTTAGGCTTTTGTTTTCGAATTGTAATGATGAATCCAAGATTTGATTGTAGCTGTACTCCTATTTTGCAGACATTCATTTTGTTCCTTCAATTCCACTATTTCTGCTGCGGATGGTAAGGTCTTTTCTTCAATATTATGTTTAAATGCATTCAAAACTGCATTTACTTCATTCTGGGTCCATCGATTTTTCTTAATTTTCTCATCACTGAGATCTATAATTTGAAGAAAATAAAGTTAAATATTATAGAGTAATTTCGTAAATATTAAGCATTAAGGGCATCCGGGAAAAAATAATAGTTTCGTGATAGACGTCTCATTTAAAAAGAAAAGAATATTTTGAGTCGGGATTTTTTGGTAAATATAGAGAAATACTCTGGGACCAGCGGTCCTCTCGGAATTTAGAGAAATTTTGATAAATAATTATTGAAAAAAATTGTTTAAATATACGGAAAAAAGGGGGTTTAAACGGTTCAGTATAGACGTCTCATTTTGAGAGGCTAAAATATTTCGGGTTCATATTTGGAAGGGTGATAGAGGAAGACTCTCCGAGGAGCGGCCTTCTCCGTTTTTGCAATAATTTTGCGATGAAATTATTTTATTAAGGATTGAAAGTGGAGTAATTTGAGGTTAATACATTTTCCTCAGTTCAACTCGCGACCACTTCCGAGAATTGGCGCCACCTCCTTGACCACTGACCCATAGATCCACTTGTCTGTGTGCTCACCGCCATATTGTCTCTCACTTTCGCCAAAAATCCAACTTTTGTAATTTCGTTTTTCAATATTTATTTCAAAAATTACTTGCAATTTTTGAGAATATTCTTTATCATCATGAATTCCCTTAATTATCACGATAAATCCGAACTAAATATCTCTAATTATTTAGGAGTAAGACGACATGCGGGAAAACACTTTTTGGGCTCGATTTTTCCCGGATGCCCTTAAGAGCATCTGGGAAATGCTCCTCTAAAAAGTGGTTTACCGCGTGTCTTCTCATTTCTAAGTGAGAAAAGATATCGAGCTACGATTTTTTGATTTAATTAGATAAAAGTTTATCACAGAAAAAACCCTACTCATTTTTGTTGCAACTCATTTGGGAGTCGAGCCCAACGCAGAATAAGGGTGCAGTCCCATGCTGAGCAGAAAACAGAATGCAAAGCAGAATTTAGTGAGTGCAAGAGAAATAGTCAGATATCACTATCCTTCCCACTCTCACGAAATTCTGCTTTGCATTGTGTTTTCTGCTCAACATGGGACTGTACCCTAAGGGCCAGTTTCACCAAACTAGTTCAAGCACTGAACTTGTTCAAAGTATGAGTTGAACGAGATCAAGTCTCTGCGTACGTTTCACCATCTACTTAACCACGTTCAACTCGGTTGAACTAAGTTTATATTTTAATCGCTGAATTTTGTCGGTTTAAGCAGAGTTGACCGCGTTCAACTTGCCGAACTCTCCCGAAGCGCAGTGCGAACTTTTACGATTTGTTGATTTTCTTAAGGGACTACTACCTATATATAAAAAATTAATTAACATTCAGTGTATTATTTACTTAACAAAATAAGTGGAATCATTATATATACAAAGCATTCTATCCCAAACTGACCCACTATCAAAACAATATTGCATGTAGATGCTTTGTTTCAACAGATTTAACTTTATTAAATGTAAATTAAATTAAAAAAATATAAAGAAAGAAGGATTTTCAAAAAAGAAAAATTAATCTGACAAATGTTTAGAAATATTCATATAAAAGCCATTACAACTTTTAAATGGTCATTTAATTGACATTCGTATTGAAATTTACAAATCTGATCTACTACACCACAATCACAAAATATGTATGTACTATTATGTTATTAAATTAAGAAAATATAAAAAGGACTTTAAAAAAAAGTTTGGCTCTCTCTGTCTAATTTTGCTTTCAACAAAAAATTTATATTTTGTAATTTTTGAAATAACTTTTTTCTTTATTAAAATTTTAATTTACTTTTGTCAAAATTGTATTTCTGCCATGAAAACGAATCGATTCATGTATATAAAGTATATATTTTATCAATATTTATAAAATTAATCGGACGATATTTTTATTTTTAACAAAAAATTCAAATTTTGTATTTTTTAAAATACTTTTAAATAATTATTCTAGAATAAGAAATTAAGCAATTGGTATATATTATATTGTGGAAGCTAAATGATCATGAAAAGAACAACTTGTTTTTTACTCCACTACTCATTTTTTATTAAGGTTTTAATTTAAAATAATAGATATTAAGCTCAAAAGAACCTATGCGACATTTATATTTTAGGTTAGTTCAGTTGTTTATTTACATTCCGTGGTTAGATTTAAGCGCCATAACCACTAGGAAATTCTAGGGAATGTAGATTAACTAAACGCGTTCATTTTAAACTGGGATTAGGCTGGTGAAACGCACTAGCGGTTAACTCTGACGATCAAGGCGAGAACAGAATAGCCTACGTGAACGTGAACGTGTACGCGAACGTATGACGTCACCCATGCTATTCAAATGGGTGACGTCAGCACGTTCACGTTCACGTAGGCTATTCTGTTCTCGCCTTCAAGAGTTGAACGAGTTCAGTTGAACCAAGCTTAACCGCCAGTTGGTGAAACTGGCCCTAAAGGGGCTTGTATACCTCCTCCGTTCTAAGTATATCAGAAACGTCCAGCGTTTTGATTGGCTATGCTCATAGAGAATTTCCAAAAAATTTAATGTTTTGGAAATTCTCTATAAGCATATCCAATCAAAACGCTGGACGTTTCTGAATATACTCAGAACGGAGGAGGTATACAAGCCCCTTAAAACAGTAACGTGAACGTAAGCATGCCATAAAAAAGAACAAACCTACTTCCTATCTTTTTCTATCTCATGCTTGCGTTCCATTCCCGTTTTATTCTGCTCAGGGCTTCGGTCTTCAAATGAGTATTGAGTAATCGACAACTTCAAGTGACTCAAAATGAGTAAAATGACAATGTTCTAGTTACTTTTTTGTGTTTCGCATGTTTCGTGTTACATGGTTTCCCATCCCTGTCAGTCAATTCACAAGTGTCTAACCTAAAATTCTTTTCGTTTCTCATAAAAACAATAAATCGACTGCATGTAATAATATTTTGACAAGTGCAACATGTTTATTCATTCTAAACAATTATTTTAATTCATATTTTTATGAATTATTCTTAGTTTTTCCAATATGATTGTAATTTTATCATAAACATAAAATGATACCCCTTTTGACTGATTTTGAATCTTTACCCCAGAAACTCAGAATGAGTCGAAGGGGTATCATTCTTGTTGCAGTTCAAAATGAGTCTCATATGATATTCACTTTGAGTTCGGTTTTTTTCTTTGTACTGATAGAGAATCTTCTCCATATTGACAAGCAATTTTTAATAAAAGTATTTAAAAATATAGTTAAAAAGTTGCACTTTTGGCAAAAGTGAAAGACAATATGGCGGCGAACACACAGGTGAATGGATCCATGTGTCGGTGGTACAGAAGGGGCGCCAATTTCAGCTAATGACTGCGGTTAAATAAATTTTACTTCCAAATATCGTATGTAAACAACGAATAGTGTATTCTATAAAAGCCCTTTTTCACTCAAAACTAAATGTTTAAACAATTTTTTAACCCTGTAGGGTCCCTTTTCCTTTATTACTTTCAAAAAATCCCAACCCGAAATATTCTTTTCTTTTTAAATTAAGTGTATTTTACGAAACAACTATTTTTTCCCGGATTACTTTAAATGAAGATTTCAAATATTTGCGCTAAAATTATAGTTTTATAAGTAATTGTAATTCTAAACGAATTTTAAAAAGTTACATAGCACAAAAAAATCTAATTGTGAGTATCCTGTAAAAAAGTATTAGGATGAGCTAAGGGATTCCATATTACGAGAGCCAAGCTGCCAATATGGAATTCGCGAAATTGGGTGTCGTGGTAAATACGGAAATCAAGGGGTTCCAATTGCAAGTTTTAAGCTTTAAAAAAATAAAAATACGTGACAGGAGTAGGGGAGAGTGGGACAAAGGCGCTATGCGGGGCAAAGACGTTTTTTAAAAATATCTTCTTTATTTTCTGTCTATTCCAATTGGTATTAAAAATTTAGTTTCAATGCAATCAGACCAATTGATTAAAAAAAGAAAAACCTAAAAATATCAAATATTTTAAGAAATATAACAAAAATTGTTTTGCAAAACTAAAATGATAGTTTTACTGAACAAACTCTTATTTTTTATAACATAAGTTTAAGTATTTAATTTTCAAAAAACATAACATGTAAATAAATTAAATATTTCTCTACACAATTGGCGTGGTGTTTTAGTTTAATTTTGTATCTAAATATTTTTAATTTAAAGTAAAAAAAGTTTGTTATGTGGGGCAAAGGTAATATTGAAATTAATTTGGTTAAAAACAATTGAATCTTCGACTTTTCTATGTATTAATTTATAATATAAGGTTAAAAACTCTAAAAGTTTTTATTTTTTATTTAAATACTTTAATTCTTTTAATAATATGTTGTTAACCTTATGTTTCGTAAATATTATACTGATAAATATCACTTGTTAATTTTTTTAAGGCTTCTAAATGCTTTCTTTTAGAAATATAAGCAAAAACGTCGCTGCCCCAGCGTGTGGGGCAAAGCCATTTTTTACATTGTTTTTGAATTTCATTAAATAATGTATTTATAACTATAATACACTAAATAACAACTATTAAAATTTCTTGTTGATTAGTTTTAGAATAATGGAAACCAAAGACCGCATAAATTAATTGCTTAATTTAAAAAATATACATCGATAAATGTAAACCTAGCGCCTTTGCCCCACACTTTCCTAAATAATTAGTGTGAGTGGAGAACAATGCGAGTTAAAGGAATGAGAATATAATAATAGTGAGTGTAAGAATTGAACTTTAATAAAATAAGATCCGTTAAACTAACAAATAAAAAACGCTAAAGAATCTTTTAGTACGGAAGTATTAACGTTCAAATGCATATGTTCAGTCGTAAACATTTTCACAAATAATTTAAGAATTATTAATCTCGGTAAATTGTTGAAGCTAAAAATCAACATAAAGCTTAAGGCTCGTCCTAGGCTAGAGACTTGGTTGAAGCTACAAATAATCCTAAAGTTTAAAGCTCCCCCTACGCTCGAGACTTGATTAAAGTTACAAATAATACTAAAGCTTAAGCCTCGCCCTACGCTCGAGACTTGGTTGAAGATACAAACAATCCTAAAGCTTAAGGTTAGCCCTAGGCTCGAGGCTTGGTTGAAGCTAAAAATAAACCTAAAGCTTAAGGCTCGTCCTAAGATCGAGACTTGGTTAAAGCTACAAATAATCCTAAAGCTCGAGACTTGATTGCAGCTACAAATAATCCTAAAGCTTAAGCCTCGCCCTACGCTCGAGACTTGGTTAAAGCTACAAATAATCCTAAAGCTCAAGACTTGATAGAAGCTACAAATAATCCTAAAGCTCGAGACTTGATTGAAGTTGGAAGAGAGAAGAGCAATGTATGAGGGGTAATTTAATGATAAGGGTGGGCGTTAATTAATATTACTTTTGATTTTTTCTTTGGGAAATAATACGCAAAAGCCACAATGGGAATAATGAAAACAGGAAATAGAAGTCCAGGCACTCAAGAGAGACAAAATGTTTGCGAATATGTACCTAATAGCTTAAAAGGTTTTTTGTATTTTTAGTTAAGACATTTGTATTTTAGTTGCAAGAATATTTTATATGGATCCTTGAACCATGCTGCATCAAGAAGAATAAATAAATATTAATAATATGGCTAATAATATACCTTTACTTTTCGTCACCGCTGTTGAATCCGCTAATTTCTTTTTATTAGAAAATTTAACCCGCTTCTTTGGATTGGAATCTAATTCATCCATGATATCATCGATTTCGCTATCAGATACTGAAGCCTTCCTTTTCGCTTTTCGAACTAATAGAAAAAAATTATTATTGTAAATTCGCCTTATCAATTTTGAATGAAACTCAAAAAAATTAAAATGTTTTAATTTTGGTTTTCAAATTTTATATGTTCCCGCATAATTATTCTCAAGTTTATTGTTAGTGAAGGGATTTTGAGATTGCTTGTTTAGATTTATGTCTCAAAATATCACTTGAATATTCAGAATAACAAACATAGAGAGTAAAACTAAAAACCCGAGAAAGATGCTTTTTTAAATAATTTACGTAACACAAATTATAAAACTGTTTCTGACCACGAAAAAAATATTAACCCTCCATCCGTTGCATAGTGAGAAGTTTTTTCACCCAGTTTCTTTCTTTATTTATAGCTTTTAAAATAAAAAAAATTATTATTCCATACTCTCAGTACCTTTCACAGCACTCTTCTTTTTTATATTAAACAAATTTTGGGATTTTTCATGTTTTTACTTATTTGTTATTGAATTTGAAAGCAGCAAATGTCGGGAAGTTCTGATGCGAAGAGTGGAAACTTCTCACCACGCGACTGACCGCGTATACTCGATTTCATTTATCATTCATTTTTTAAATAATTAACTCAAAAAGAAAGTTCTTTTTACTGCCAATAGGTTGTTTAGAAATTCTAATTTCTAATTTCTAATTCTAATTCTAATGAACCTAAAGCTTAAAGCTCATCCTAGGCTCGAGACTTGGTTGAAGCTACAAATAATTCTGAATCTCGAGACTTGATTGAAGCTACAAATAATCCTAAAGCTTAAGCCTCGCCCTACGCTCAAGACTTGGTTGAAGCTAAAAATAAACCTAAAGCTTAAGGCTCGTCCTACGCTCGCGACTTGGTTAAAGCTTAAAATAATCCTGCTGCTCGAGACTTGATTAAAGCTACAAATAATCCTAAAGCTCGAGACTTGATAGAAGCTACAAATAATCCTAAAGCTTGAGCCTTGCCCTACGCTCGAGACTTGATTGAAGCTACAAATAATCCTAAAGCTTAAGCCTCGCCCTACGCTCGAGACTTGGTTGAAGCTAAAAATAAACCAAAGCTTAAGGCTCGCCCTACGCTCGAGACTTAGTTAAAGCTTAAAATAAACGTACAGCCTAAGGCTCGCTATAGGCTCGAGACTTGGTTGAAGCTACAAATAATCCTAAAGCTTAAGCCTCTCCCTACTCTCGAGACTTGGTTGAAGCTAAAAATAAACGTACAGCTTAAGTCTCGCCCTACGCTCGAGACTTGGTTGAAGCTAAAAATAAAGCTACAGCTTAAGGATCGTCCTACGCTCGAGACTTGATTAAAGCTACAAATAATCCTAAAGCTCGAGACTTGATAGAAGCTACAAATAATCCTAAAGCTTAAGCCTTGCCCTAGGCTCAAGACTTGGTTAAAGCTAAAAATAAACGTACATCTTAAGGCTCGTCCTAGGCTCGAGATTTTTTTGAAGGTACAAATACTTTTAAAGCTTAAAGCTCGCCCTAAGCTCGAAACTTAGTTAAAGCTACAAATATTCCTAAGGTTTAAGGCTCGTCCTACGCTCGAGACTTGATTAAAGCTTAAAATAATCCTGCTGCTCGAGACTTGATTAAAGCTACAAATAATCCTAAAGCTCGAGACTTGATAGAAGCTACAAATAATCCTAAAGCTTAAGCCTTGCCCTAGGCTCAAGACTTGGTTGAAGCTTAAAATAAACGTACATCTTAAGGCTCGTCCTAGGCTTGAGATTTTTTTTGAAGCTACAAATACGTTTAAAGCTTAAGGCTCGCCCTACACTCGAGACTTGGTTAAAGCTTAAAATAAACGTACAGCCTAAGGCTCGCTATAGGCTCAAGACTTGGTTAAAGCTACAAATAATCCTAAAGCTTAAGCCTCGCCCTACGCTCGAGACTTGGTTGAAGCTAAAAATAAACCAAAGCTTAAGGCTCGCCCTACGCTCGAGACTTGGTTAAAGCTTAAAATAAACCAAAGCTTAAGGCTCGCCCTACGCTCGAGACTTGGTTGAAGCTAAAAATAAAGCTACAGCTTAAGGTCGAGATCGTCCTACGCTCGAGACTTGATTAAAGCTACAAATAATCCTAAAGCTCGAGACTTGATAGAAGCTACAAATAATCCTAAAGCTTAAGCCTTGCCCTAGGCTCAAGACTTGGTTAAAGCTAAAAATAAACGTACATCTTAAGGCTCGTCCTAGGCTCGAGATTTTTTTGAAGGTACAAATACTTTTAAAGCTTAAAGCTCGCCCTAAGCTCGAAACTTAGTTAAAGCTACAAATATTCCTAAGGTTTAAGGCTCGTCCTACGCTCGAGACTTGATTAAAGCTTAAAATAATCCTGCTGCTCGAGACTTGATTAAAGCTACAAATAATCCTAAAGCTCGAGACTTGATAGAAGCTACAAATAATCCTAAAGCTTAAGCCTTGCCCTAGGCTCAAGACTTGGTTGAAGCTTAAAATAAACGTACATCTTAAGGCTCGTCCTAGGCTTGAGATTTTTTTTGAAGCTACAAATACGTTTAAAGCTTAAGGCTCGCCCTACACTCGAGACTTGGTTAAAGCTTAAAATAAACGTACAGCCTAAGGCTCGCTATAGGCTCGAGACTTGGTTAAAGCTACAAATAATCCTAAAGCTTAAGCCTCGCCCTACGCTCGAGACTTGGTTGAAGCTAAAAATAAACCAAAGCTTAAGGCTCGCCCTACGCTCGAGACTTGGTTAAAGCTTAAAATAAACGTACAGCCTGAGGCTCGCTATAGGCTCGAGACTTGGTTGAAGCTACAAATAATCCTAAAGTTTAAGCCTCGCCCTACGCTCGAGACTTGGTTAAAGCTAAAAATAAACGTACAGCTTAAGGCTCGCCCTACGCTCGAGACTTGGTTGAAGCTAAAAATAAAGCTACAGCTTAAGGATCGCCCTACGCTCGAGACTTGATTGAAGCTACTAATAATCCTAAAGCTCGAGACTTGATAGAAGCTACAAATAATCCTAAAGCTTAAGCCTCGCCCTACGCTCAAGACTTGGTTAAAGCTACAAATAATCCTAAAGCTTAAGCCTCGCCCTACGCTCAAGACTTGGTTAAAGCTTAAAATAAACCAAAGCTTAAGGCTCGCCCTAGGCTCGAGACTTGGTTGAAGCTAAAAATAAACCAAAGCTTAAGGCTCGCCCTACGCTCGAGACTTAGTTAAAGCTTAAAATAAACGTACAGCCTAAGGCTCGCTATAGGCTCGAGACTTGGTTGAAGCTACAAATAATCCTAAAGCTTAAGCCTCTCCCTACTCTCGAGACTTGGTTGAAGCTAAAAATAAACGTACAGCTTAAGTCTCGCCCTACGCTCGAGACTTGGTTGAAGCTAAAAATAAAGCTACAGCTTAAGGATCGTCCTACGCTCGAGACTTGATTAAAGCTACAAATAATCCTAAAGCTCGAGACTTGATAGAAGCTACAAATAATCCTAAAGCTTAAGCCTTGCCCTAGGCTCAAGACTTGGTTAAAGCTAAAAATAAACGTAAATCTTAAGGCTCGTCCTAGGCTCGAGATTTTTTTGAAGGTACAAATACTTTTAAAGCTTAAAGCTCGCCCTAAGCTCGAAACTTAGTTAAAGCTACAAATATTCCTAAGGTTTAAGGCTCGTCCTACGCTCGAGACTTGATTAAAGCTTAAAATAATCCTGCTGCTCGAGACTTGATTAAAGCTACAAATAATCCTAAAGCTCGAGACTTGATAGAAGCTACAAATAATCCTAAAGCTTAAGCCTTGCCCTAGGCTCAAGACTTGGTTGAAGCTTAAAATAAACGTACATCTTAAGGCTCGTCCTAGGCTTGAGATTTTTTTTGAAGCTACAAATACGTTTAAAGCTTAAGGCTCGCCCTACACTCGAGACTTGGTTAAAGCTTAAAATAAACGTACAGCCTAAGGCTCGCTATAGGCTCGAGACTTGGTTAAAGCTACAAATAATCCTAAAGCTTAAGCCTCGCCCTACGCTCGAGACTTGGTTGAAGCTAAAAATAAACCAAAGCTTAAGGCTCGCCCTACGCTCGAGACTTGGTTAAAGCTTAAAATAAACGTACAGCCTGAGGCTCGCTATAGGCTCGAGACTTGGTTGAAGCTACAAATAATCCTAAAGTTTAAGCCTCGCCCTACGCTCGAGACTTGGTTAAAGCTAAAAATAAACGTACAGCTTAAGGCTCGCCCTACGCTCGAGACTTGGTTGAAGCTAAAAATAAAGCTACAGCTTAAGGATCGCCCTACGCTCGAGACTTGATTGAAGCTACTAATAATCCTAAAGCTCGAGACTTGATAGAAGCTACAAATAATCCTAAAGCTTAAGCCTTGCCCTAGGCTCAAGACTTGGTTAAAGCTAAAAATAAACGTACATCTTAAGGCTCGTCCTAGGCTCGAGATTTTTTTGAAGCTACAAATACTTTTAAAGCTTAAAGCTCGCTTTAAGCTCGAAACTTAGTTAAAGCTACAAATATTCCTAAGGTTTAAGGCTCGTCCTACGCTCGAGACTTGGTTAAAGCTTAAAATAATCCTGCTGCTCGAGACTTGATTAAAGCTACAAATAATCCTAAAGCTCGAGACTTGATAGAAGCTACAAATTATCCTAAAGCTTAAGCCTTGCCCTAGGCTCAAGACTTGGTTGAAGCTTAAAATAAACGTACATCTGAAGGCTCGACCTAGGCTTGAGATTTTTTTGAAGCTACAAATACGTTTAAAGCTTAAGGCTCGCCCTACGCTCGAGACTTGGTTAAAGCTTAAAATAAACGTACAGCCTAAGGCTCGCTATAGGCTCGAGACTTGGTTAAAGCTACAAATAATCCTAAAGCTTAAGCCTCGCCCTACGCTCGAGACTTGGTTGAAGCTAAAAATAAACCAAAGCTTAAGGCTCGCCCTACGCTCGAGACTTGGTTAAAGCTTAAAATAAACGTACAGCTTAAGGCTCGTCCTACGCTCGAGACTTGGTTGAAGCTAAAAATAATCCTAAAGTTTAAGCCTCGCCCTACGCTCGAGACTTGGTTAAAGCTTAAAATAATCCTGCTGCTCGAGACTTGATTAAAGCTACAAACAATCCTAAAGCTCGAGACTTGATAGAAGCTACAAATAATCCTAAAGCTTAAGCCTTGCCCTAGGCTCAAGACTTGGTTGAAGCTAAAAATAAACGTACATCTTAAGGCTCGTCCTAGTCTCGAGATTTTTTTGAAGCTACAATTACTTTTAAAGCTTAAGGCTCGCCCTAAGCTCGAAACTTAGTTGAAGCTACAAATATTCCTAAGGTTTAAGGCTCGCCCTACGCTCGAGACTTGCTTGAAGCTAAAAATAAACGTACAGCTTAAGGCTCGCCCTAGGCTCGAGACTTGGTTGAAGCTAAAAATAAACCAAAGCTTAAGGCTCGTCCTTTGCTCGAGACTTGGTTAAAGCTTAAAATAATCCTGCTGCTCGAGACTTGATTAAAGCTACAAACAATCCTAAAGCTCGAGACTTGATAGAAGCTACAAATAATCCTAAAGCTTAAGCCTTGCCCTAGGCTCAAGACTTGGTTGAAGCTAAAAATAAACGTACAGCTTAAGGCTCGCCCTAGGCTCGAGACTTGGTTGAAGCTAAAAATAAACCAAAGCTTAAGGCTCGTCCTAGTCTCGAGACTTGGTTAAAGCTACAAATAATCCTAAAGCTCGAGAATTGATTGAAGTTGGAAGAGAGAAGAGCAATGTATGAGGGGTAATTTAATGATAAGGGTGGGCGTTAATTAACATTACTTTTGATTTTTCTTTGGGAAATAATACGCAAAAGCCACAATGGGAATAATGAAAACAGGAAATAGAAGCCCAGGCACTCAAGAGAGATAAAATGTTTGCGAATATGTACCTAATAGCTTAAAAGGTTTTTTGTATTTTTAGTTAAGACATTTGTATTTTAGTTGCAAGAATATTTTATATGGATCCTTGAACCATGCTGCATCAAGAAGAATAAATAAATATTAATAATATGGCTAATAATATACCTTTGCTTTTCGTCACCGCTGATGAATCCGCTAATTTCTTTTCATTAGAAAATTTAACCCGCTTCTTTGGATTGGAAACTAATTCATCCATGAAATCATCGATTTCGCTATCAGAAACTGAAGCTTTCCTTTTCGCTTTTCGATCTAATAGAAAAAAAATTATTATTGTAAATTCGTCTTATCAATTTTGAATAAAACCCAAAAAATTAAAATGTTTCAGTTTTGTTTTAAAATTTTTTATAAATTGAAGACATTTACAATAAAAGTTTCCACACTATTTTGCATGTGAGTAATCTGGCTAAAACATACCATTGTTTTGGTTCGGAAGAAAATCATCAGTTGAAGCACTAGATTCGGGTGAGGCAGCAAGGCTCTTCGAATTGTGACCTAACAAAAATCAAAAATATTATTGTTGATCCATCATTCAATTTGTGAATATAACTTTATTCCAGCTTAACTCATCACAAAATTAATGAAAAGGTTTTTAGTGTCGTTCTTTAAGACTTAGTAGTCAATATGACATTTAGATTTCCATTATTTCAAATCTATCACGGAGGATTAAAATCCAAAAAAATAATTAAATAATTTACTACCTGACCAAAGTATTATTTCTAACTTATTTCATATATTCTGTTCACAAATAAAATGCTTATACTGTAAAACCTTGTAAAAGAAATCTTTAATTTTAAGACAACGAACTCAGAATCTGTCACCTAATTAATGCTCGGTGTTTTAGAGGGCTTATTGTACATGTCTTAAAGTGCAAACATAAGATAAAGTTTCAAATAAATCAGGTAAACATTATCTAAACTTTGTAGAACGTATTATAACTGAAATGTATAATCTTCAAATAATAAATACTTTACGTTGAAATAAAGATAAAAATTTTAAATGTTAACCACTTGAGCAGCATGGCGTTCCAGACGGCATTGCGTTTACAGATGATAGCAGCAAAAATGTGAAAAACCACGAGTATAATTATCAATATATCGACTGTTTTTCGATAAAATCGAATACCTTGAATAAATATTAACCGATTTGGCTTATTCTTTTTTTTAAAAAGAATTTTCTTAAACTTTAATAAAACTGTATTAATTTTAACACAAAATTAAATTTTTTGTAAAAACTATAAAAATATGAACGCCAAAAATAAGTATTCGAATGCAATTTTTCACATTTTTGTTGTTTACGGTTTATAGATAATTGTAAATCGTTCTTAAGTCATGAAATGCTAATTAAAAATTTACTTTGGATGGACGAAAGGAAATTAAAAAAAATTGGGCGAACAAACTTATAAATATTATTAAATAATGGAGGTGGACCACAATTCCCCAATCTCCCCTACTAATATAAAGACTAAACTATATTTAAACTCATTACTTAAATTTTATTGTTACAACCTTTGCATGGAAAAATGCACGAGCTCTCACTCGCGACGCCATTTGAAACACTATGATGCTCAAGTTAAATCATAATTAATTGAGTTAAATAAATACCTATATTAGGAGTTTGGGCTTTTTTCAAAACATCGGACATTTCCACTATATCAGTTGCCGCCGTCGGTTGCTGATATATCTCCTTATGGATTTTCAAATCATGACCCATAAACTTTGCCACTGTGCTGATTCGTTTTTCTGAATAATTTAAGGAGCAAGTTGTAGCCAAGTGTTTACGCAATGCAGTTCCTCTGAGAGTCTCGGGTTTTTTCGCGCCACAAAGGTTTGAATATTTTCTTAATAGATCGCAAGCTTCCAAGGATTTGAATCTATTTATATCTTTACCAGGCACAGCGAAAAAATATGTATTTTTTTTATGAATTCCTGCATCCTTCCGAAACTTTTTAAGAAGTAGCATGCATTCCAATGATCTTTGACAAATTAAAACGGGAACTGGTCGGTCCTTTTTCCCACGTATAAGCAGACGCTTGTATTCCGAAGAAGCTTGCTTCCCTCTTTCTGGTAGATATTTATACAAATCATCGCTTTCGTCAATTTCTAATCGATTATTGAAATCTTCAACAGTTAAAAACTGCATTTCACCACGACGCCTTCGGTTAAATACCATTAGGTATATCAAGACTGACTCACTTAAAATTTTCCAATTTTCGATCGAAAATGTTTTCTGAAGTGACTGGAATGATTCATCGCGTAGCTTTGTTAAATAAGAGATTAAATTACTTATATCATCTACATTTGGAAGGATGACTTGTTTCTTTCGCTGCATGTCGATCTGGGTTTCAGCAACATTTTTGTTAACATAAATTCCGAATTTAGTGTCAAAAACAACCATAAAATCTTCAACCAATCCTTTTTTTGTCTTGTCCATAAGAGTAATATACTCACATTTTAGAATCAGGCTACATTTTCTAAGAGCCGTTCCTAAAGCAGATGCTGTGCTTGGGGCTGCGTAAATTTGCGTTTCCTCATTAAACCCTGCGACAATATTCACAGCTTCCAACACGTTATTAAAGAAGCTCGGGTGAAATGCTGCCGCTAAATCGTCGATTTCCGGAACAATTTGTTTTAATGCTAAGACGAATCTGGCGAGTAATCTTAACTGAGATCGGATCATGTTATCTTGTTGAGGTTTCTTATACTTTACCGAAAGCAAGTTTCCAAATAGAATTATTAGCCTATCGTATCTAATAATGTTAGTAATGTCGTCTTTTTGAAGAACAGGAAGTATTTTATGTCTCATTTTGTAGCTCGCATCTTGATGTACTCGTCCGATTTGACGTGCGGCGTTTTGTAAAATGCATCTTGCATTCGATGAATTCGATTGTGTGCATTCTGCATAATGGTGACGAATGTTGTTCCTAGTATAAAATCCGTAACATTTGGGGCAATTAACAAACTCTTCTGCTGTTTTCTTTAGTTTTAACTGTGGTCTTCGAACCGTTATTAAGAATCCTTTATTGTGATCTTCACTAGTGTTGTAAATAAAATCCCCCTTCTTTCTTAAAACACCAATTGCTTTACGTTTTTCATTAGTATTTTTTTTCATGGACATGAAATTTTTTACTGCAGGTTCTTCTTTATGACATCTTCTTAAATGGCGCGCAATCTGCAATTGCAAAGTATTACAAAAGCAGCAAAAGTGTTGTTTTGATTTCCCGGATTTACCCAAGGATGGAGGAACTTGCATGCTTTCTGCCGGTACAGCTGACTTTTTAGAAAGAGCACATAAATAAGAAAAAGATGTATTTGGTTGAGACTTCTGAGCAGTACTGTCTTGAGTAGAATTCAAGGTACTTTCAGAACTTTTGTTTAAGACCTCTTCTTCATCATCGAATTCTTCTTCATCAGACTCATCTTCATCATCTTGGGGTAAATAATCTTTATCGCATAAATCATCTTCATCATCATCATCCTCCTCATTTTCTGGGATTTCAATAATATCTTCGAATTCTGCGACCGTAGAAGATTGTGAATAAATTTCCGAATTTGACAACTGATTAACTTCAATTAATGTACTTTTATCGTTGATTGTAGAAGCTAATAATTTTCTCTCATTGGGTTTAATTATAATGGATTCAATTATTTTAGGTTTAGTAGAACGAGAGGGATTTAAATCAGTATTTCCAAAATTGTTGTTAAGAACAGAACCAATTGCTTGACCATCTGAAATAATAGTGGCGGCACCAGTTTGAGTAAAATTGTCTACATCGAGTTCATTTATAAATCCTTGAAAGTTATCACTAACTATTTGTTCAGAATTTTCATCAACAAATAGAATTTCACAATTTGCAATGTCTACAAATTGGTCCAGATTGCTCACTTTTTCAGTATGTTTAAAATGTTCTTGTAAATGAGTAAGTACTTCTACTGGTTGATTATTACATTTAACGTTGTCGTCACCAATGTTTAAAAATTCAATTTGATTTTCAGGAACTGAAATCAATCTACTGTCAAGCAGAGATAATTCCTTAACTGGATGAAGTAAGTGAGTCGGAGTTACAAGGGGTTTTTCTATTAATTCACTGTTGCAATTATTATTAATTGGAAACTCTTCTTGCTTCTCAGGTATCATAGGAGATTTACAACCAGTTGAAGAAATTTTCTCAGAGGAATCTGCTAATGAATTTCCATTTATTTGTTTCAACTGTTCTGACAGTTGAGGATTATTTTTGTCGAGATCATTTTTCGATGGATTATTGTCATCATTGCTGCTTAATATTTTAATTGGTATTTCAGGTACTTTGTCCAAGGTACTGTCAAGTGAAGATTTCTTAACGGGATGAATTGTTAAATCTGCATTAATATGTTCGGACTGGTGAGTATAATTTTCCAGATGCTTATATATTAATTCTCTGTTGCAATTATTATTAATTGGAAACTCTTCTTGCTTTTCAGGTATCATGGGAGATTTACAACCAGTTGAAGAAATTTTCTCAGAGGAATCTGCTAATGAATTTCCATTTATTTGTTTCAACTGTTCTAACAGTTGAGGAATATTTTTGTCGAGATCATTTTTGAATGGATTATTGTCATTGCTGCTTAATATTTTAATTGGTATTTCAGGTACTTCGTCCAAGCTACTGTCAAGTGAAGATTTCTTAACGGGATGAATTGTTGAATCTGCATTAACATGTTCTGACTGGTGAGTACAACTTTCCAGATGCTTATCTTTTAATTTACTGTTGCAATCATTATTGATCAAAACTTTTACTTCTCTTACAGGTACTACGCAACATTTACTGAAATGTGAAGACTCTTTTTCAATGGTATGAATTATACAATCTCCATGTATAATTTCAATCTGTTCCGGCAAGAGAGGAGGAATTTGATTATTGACGCCATTATTAATTAACATTCCAATTTGTCTTTCAGTTACTACAGCAAATTTACTGTTATGCGAAGGGGATTGATGAACGGTTTGAATTACAGAATTTCTATTTTCAAGTTGAGTCTGTCCTGATAGAAGAGATTGATCTTTGACAAGTTCACTTTTAACGTGTCTGTGACCATCATTTTTTACTAAAACTTCTATTTCATTTTCAGGTACTACGGTGTCTCTACTATTATGCGAATATGATTTCTCAATAGAAAGAATTAAATCCTCATTAATATTTTTTTTTAGGTGAGTATCAGCTTCTACATAATTATTTTTGAATTTACTTTCGAGATCATTACTAACTAAAATCTTTTTTTCCTTCTCAGGTGCTTCGGTGCATCTATTATAATGTGAAAAATCTTGTTCAACAGAATTAATTGAAATATCTCCATTCGTGTTTTCAAACTCTTGTGATTGGTGAGTATTTAATTTCACCGATTTATTTTTGAGTTGACTGACATCATCATTTCGAAGTAAAACTTTTAAATCCCTTTTAAGTTCTTCTGCGGATCTACAACCATGTGAAAGGTTTTGCTCTTCAGATATCTGGAGTTTATGTTTTTCATTCACCTCATCTTTGTTGACAATAAAAGTTTCCGATTGAATTAATTTACGTGGTGAGGTAGAATAGGCTGCTTCATGATCTAAATAATTAAAGAATAATAATAGTCGGTGTATATACATTGGTAAAATTTAGTTTAGTTTGGATCAAAATTCAGTTTAATAGAATATTAAGGGAAGGTTCCCATTGCGGAGGCCAAAATCAACACAAACTTTGACAATGTTCTACGGGGAGCAGTTATGACTTAGAGATGTAATTTTTTTTCTAAATAAAGATACATCCTTGAACTTTTAAAACATATGTGACCGGGACTGAGAAAAGGGACCTACTTACCAAAATCAACTTTTCGAGAAAAACGCCTTTAAAGTTTTCTATCCCAATAAATTAGATTTCTTGAAACATTTTACATTTAAATTAACATGATGAGTGTTCTTTATGTATTTTTTTATGCTGAATCCGATTTTCATGGTTAAATAATTGTTCAAACAACCCTGTAATTGTTATAAACAATTTATTTTGCAAAAGTCGAATTATGGAATTTTCAAAATTAATTTAAAAGACTTCCGGATGTCCTAGAGGTCTGAAATTTTTTATGCAAGTTCAGAACTGATACAATAATGAATAATTCTGAACTCTACAATAATCCATAGTTATTTTTTGACTTGCACAACCAGGTTGCCGATGACGGGGTATACTTGGGGATCATCTTCGAGAAATTAAGTCGAACTTTTTGTAAATGGTTTAGGCATTCAATTTAAGATTTAGGGAATATATTCTTGACACTTAGACAACCAAGAGTAATTTTTGTCTTAAAATTACTTATATTTTCATAAAAAAAATTTTAAAAAAAAATTTTTTTAAAATTTGTTTAAACAATTAAAAAAAATTTTTTTTAACAATCTGGACTGATTGCATTGTATTTCTAGGACCTTAAACTATAAGAAACCATCATAAAAAAATCGATTTTTTGGTAAGTAGGTCCCTTTTCTCAGTCCCGGTCACATATACACTCGAACGCCGGTTTAGCGGACTGTCTGGGGGAGTCGTCCGTTAAAGCGAACAATAAAAACTATACCTGTAACGAGAAAGGACAAAGAAAATCTTTAATCCCAACCCAAAAAGTCTGCTACATCGGTGTCCGCTAAACCGGAATTTGAGTGTATTTCATGTAAAAAAATCAAAATGGCGGCCGATATGACGCTTAGTAAACAATGTTTTTTAGACAAGGGAAACGGTGGGCACTTTACACTGCGCAATTTTGAGTCTAAAACAAAAACTCAAAAAGTTTTACGAAGATGATATCCTCAAGAATACGCTATACCTATAAAATAGTTAAAAAGTTAACAAATGACAAAATGGCAGACACTTTTTTAAAAAACTGCGTTTTTGCATTATTTTTTCATATTTGACCTCTTGTAAAACATCTCTAATGTTAACAATTGGATCATATTATAGGTATAACCCCATCAGAATTTAGTTACCTTTAATCTTGTTTCGAGAAAAATTTGTTTAAAGTTTTAGAAACATTTTTGTTTAATAATTATATTCTTTGACATTCTTGTTCAATTTGCGTATATGATAAATTCTTATAGGATTTTAGGGTTCCTGTTTAAGATTCTGATGTCAGATTTGCAAAATTTTTAAAAATCGATTCGATTTGCCTGATATTTATTACTCAGTCCTCGGGACGCCGGTGAGTTCAAGACTCTATAGAAACGAAACTATTCTTTGGGTAAAAAAGGGCTTTACACACTTATTCTACACATATGTGACCGGGTCTGAGAAAAGGGACCTACTTACGAAAATCATCTTTTCGAGAAAAACGCGTTTAAAGTTTTCTATCCAAATAAATTAGATTTCTTGGAATATTTTATATTTAAATTAACATGATGAGTGTTCTTTATGTATTTTTTTTTGCTGAATCCAATTTTCATGGTTAAATAATTGTTCAAATAACCCTGTAATTGTTATAAACAATTTACTTTGCAAAAGTCAAATTATGGAATTTTCAAAATTAATTTAAAAGACTTCCGAATGCCCTAGAGGTCTGAAATTTTTTATGCAAGTTCAGAACTGATACAATAATGAATAATTCTGAACTCTACAATAATCCACAGTTATTTGTTGACTTGCACAACCAGGTTGCCGATGACGGGTATACTTGGGGATCATCTTCGAGAAATGAAGTCGAATTTTTTGTAAATGGTTTAGGCATTCAATTAAAGATTTAGGGGAAATATTCTTGACACTTAGACAACCAAGAGTAATTTTTGTCTTAAAATTACTTATATTTTCATAAAAAAAATTTAAAAAAACATTTTTTTTAAAATTTGTTTAAATAGGATGGTGACTGTCTTTTCGGGGCAGGCGGCGAGAGGGGAATTCACATGCTTTTATATGGGATTAAAACTGCAAATACCAACTGTTTTAATATATATTTTAAAAGTGAAATATGCAATACTTAATATATTAGACATAAAAAATAGTATTTTTAATAATTCCAATTCATTATTCTTAAAAAATATTTTAAAAAATAATTATTTAATTAGGTAAAAAAAATTTTGTAAAAAAATGTTATGAGCATGGAGATCGTGACAACAGCGCATTCCATATGCATGCTAGAAACAGTGTTGGTAACACTGAATAAGATTTCATTCGTATATGATTACATTATGCGACGTTGCCACGTTTCTGTGTATTATGTTAGAGAGGTTAGAAAATCTGTAATTTTACGTCAGTTTTAATGTTATTTCTAAAAATCAGGACAGTCGGTTTAGTCAATTATTTTTTTAAATTATTCCAAAAGTATTAAGGCGTACTTGCGTTTGCGAAGGCAAAAAATGGGCCCCACTTGAATGTTTTTTTTTCACAGTCATTTTATTTAAAATATTAAAAACGATTTTTGCACCTTAAAGTACATTATAAAAACTAAAAAAAGAAAATTTTTTTTCGATTTTTAACCGTTATTTACGATTCGTAGAGGGCCCCAAACATTGCGATCTCAAATTTTTAAGAGTTTGCGGTGCCCCGCATAGAGCCTCTCCTGACTGTCTAAAATCAAAAAAACAAAATTTATTCTTTAGTATACATTAATACCTAGTGGACGTATATGATGAAATTTAAAAAAAGTAAAAAAAAACGAAAATGCGGTACTTTTAAAGTCAAAAATTCAAAAGATCAAAATCATCATTTCTTAAAAATTGACTTTAAAAGTACCGCATTTTCGTTTTTTTTACTTTTTTTTAATTTCATCATATACGTCCACTAGGTATAAATGTATACGAAAGAACAAATTTTGTTTTTTTGATTTTAGACAGTCAAGAGAGGCTCTATGCGGGGCACCGCAAACTCTTAAAAATTTGAGATCGCAATGTTTAGGGCCCTCTAAGAATCGTAAATAACGGTTAAAAATCGAAAAAAAATTTTCTTTTTTTAGTTTTTATAATGTACTTTAAGGTGCAAAAATCGTTTTTAATATTTTAAATAAAATGACTGTGAAAAAAAACATTAAAGTGAGGCCTATTTTTTGCCTTCGCAAACGCAAGTACGCCTTAAACTTTAAAAGAGTATGATTTTTAAAAAAAGTTTAACTTTTTTACACAAGTTATTACCAAAATAGTGCACTTTACATAACACTCCCCATAAGAGCCCATATAAAAACATGCAATTTCAACAATTAAATTTTCAAAAACGGGACAGTAAAAAATTAAAAAAAAAATTGTTCTATAATTTAGACATTCTTAACCCTTAAACCGCACCCTGGGTGTGCGACACCCATATTCTAGCTTTTTACTCTAATATTTCGGTTAAATTCGTAAAAATTGAACATGTGTCGTTATTGGACGATACATTTTGTACTTAACTTTATGTTCCGTGAGGGACATTAGTCTCCCAAGTGTCTTTGTGTATTTGATAACTTTATGAAGTTGTCGGCGAAAAATTTCTGCTTGTTTGACACCCAGTTTTTGGTTTAAGGTAATTTCAGTAGTTTTAAAAAACTCTTTTTTAATTATTAAAATTAAATAAATGATTATGAAACCTATTTTCCTTCAAAATAGATGTACTGAGCTATATAAGATAATTTTTCCAAAAGATAATATCCTATTCCAGCTTGGAGAACACACTTAAAAGTACCCGGGTGTCGCACACCCAGTGTGCGGTTTAAGGATGGATTCGGCAGTGTGCGGTTTAAGGGTTAACAACGAGTTTTTCCAAATTTCAAAAAATTCTTAACATTTTTATTTCAGTCACCATCCTCCTTAAACAATTGAACCGCCGGATCGTAGAAGGGCATATAGCCCATTTGAATTACATTGGCTATATGCCCTTCTACGATCCGGCGGTTCAATTGCAAAAAAATTTTTTAACAATCGGGACTGATTGCATTGTATTTCTAGGACCTTAAACTATGAGAAACCATCATAAAAAAATCGTTTTTTTGGTAAGTAGGTCCCTTTTCTCAGACCCGGTCACATATATAACTTTCAAAAAATGGAATAAAAAAGAAATCGGTTTTTTTTACTCCTGCAATGGGAACCTCTCCTTAACATAAAAAACGTTTTTTTAAAAATTTCTGTAGAAGATGAATTTACAACAGTTAACATGGAAAATTAGATGCTTAAGGGAGAGGGTGTTCGTTTTTAGGCATTAGAAATCGCCTTTACGGGACAGCAAAATCTTATTGAGGGTACGTGTTATTAGTTTAATATACAATAGATATATAATAAATATTAAGCAACAAGAGATTAAAAGCAGAATGTAAAAAAGTAAATTACTTATTACCAGTAGCAGTAAGTAAAAAAAATTAGGTTGGTTTTATTCTAATGGCACTTACCACACTCACAAGTCGATGTGTCTTTGGATACACTTAAACGAGTTGACTGAAATACATTTTCATTAAATCCATTAGGGTCAGTTGAGCTGTTCATCCAAGTCTCTCCTAGTATGTCTAATAGCTCGGACGCACCACTGTGCGGAGCACTAGTATTATTTGACTCTGTATGTGAAAATGACAAATTTTCCAAAACTACACGTGCATTCTTTAGTTGTACCGATGAATCAAAAAGAACACGATCTTGCGATAAATTCATTGATCCATTTAATGGTGTAGAATTGCTGTTAATTTGAGACGTTTTAAAAGAATCTATAGACCCGTCTAACCAGCTCCCTTCTGTCCTATTTAAATTTTTAATTTGAATTTCGATTTCCGGATCCAATTTTTCTAATAATACGAAAGCTTCCTTCCAATTTTGATGTGCAACTAAAACATAATATATTTATTTAGTAGGGGAGAATGGGAAGTTGTGAAACGGGTTTTGTTGTCGGGTCAAAAATATTATAAAAAAATTTTCTTCTTGAATTCTATGATACAGAACGGATTTAAAATTTTGCTTATTTTTCAAAAAACTGTTTTTGATTTTTCAAAAAAAGGTGGGGAGTTGTGAAACACCGATAGAAATTTCAAAAATTCCTCCATATTGGATAAAAACTTTAGAATACCCACCTATACTTAAATCAAATTAGATTTATTATTCTATTTTTGTGGTGGCATGACTTTAAATGGGCTGTATTGTGCCATAGACTGTCAAGGAGTTAAAAATCAATATTTAAATTACTTGCAATATTACATGAAACATTGGAATCATTCATGATTAATACTAAAGGCTTATAAAAATTCTAATTAGGTTAAACTAACATCATCTCCTTCTGACGCTGTTTCATTACTCCCCACTTCCTTCAGTTTCAAAACAGCCATTAATTTTTCAAACATCGAATTTTATGCAAAATTGCATTTAGTATATCGAAAGGTTATTACATTCGTTGGGAAAAAAATATTCAATCGATTTCAATTTAATTATTATATTCATTGTTCAACAAAGAATTTTGTAAAACTCATGGAATTCGGTTGAAACTAGGGTTACCAGGGTTACTAGGCTTTTAGAAAATGTCCAGCTTTCGTACGGCTTTTTTACTCTTTGAATTAACTACAGTTAATTCAGCTATTATATACATTCTTTATTTTATATAAGACCAGCGCCTCAGACGGCCTTTGGCTGTCTTCGATGCTTCTGTCCAATGTTCATTTTTGTTCAATTTTTAAAAGTTCTAATATCATTTTTTTAATTTATTTTTTTAAATAAAATTTTACTTTACTTAAAATATTTTTCTTAAGTACACTGAGAAAAGAAAAGCACAGAATCTGAATTCGACATAGTTCAGCATCAGTACCCCAGGTTGAACGCAGCAGCAGTGCCACTATTGGACAGATTCTGTACTCTGAAGCACATATGCTGTACTTTGAAAAATTTTGAAGTATAGATTCTACGCTTTAAGTTCGCCATATTGTGTCCGCCATTTTGAATTTTCGAATTTTGACTTCAGATTCGTAATCATCGACGTCAAAATCCCCTAATAACAAGTTCTGAGTCAATTGGATTATAATTTAAAAATTTTGTGTCTTATTCCTTTCCTTTTTTGATTAAAAAAACCCTTTAGTTATAAAAACATACATTTCAATGATTAAAATCAAAATCCCAAATGGACAAAATATAGACCTTAAGGGCTCTTCTCCTTTGTGGGACACTCATGACATTTTGCTCGTTTTTGCTTATATGTTAAACAGGTTATAATTATATCGACAACTCTTGTATCATTCGAAAAAGAATCCAAAATTATTATTAATTTTATACTAATGTTGAATATAAAATAGTAATTAACCAATTTTCAAGATGGGACACTCATGACAGTTATTTAATTACATTAAAATCTTTTTTTTCTGCTACAGTGTAAAGCTGGCACATTTGAAAACACTATATATTTAATTTTTTCAGTTGATTCGTCGTTATTTTCGGGTGCGAATTCGTCATAAAATAGTTTTTTGATCACTGGATAAATGTTTAGAAACGCATTAATACAAAATTTTGCATTCAAAGTAAAATAATGTAAAAGTCAGGGACACATCATTTTTATTTTTTTTAAAGGCTAAATCTTTCATTTAAATTCATATAAGTACATAAAAATAGAAAAACCAATAATATAAGACACAAGACGAAATGTACATTTCAAAAACGACTAGACATGACCTTAATAAGAGTATTTACAATTCCTTTAATTAATGTCCTATTACTGGACGACAAAACATTTAGGCACCTGTCCACTGGCTCAAGATTATTCAGTTCGCAATTATATATTACCTCAAATAAATGTTTCCAGGCCGGGCAGGCAGAAAGGATATGATATAAGCTTTCTTTCTCAAGGTTACAAAAAGTACAATATGCATCAGAGTCGAATACAAATTTTCCATTGTTAAAAACAATTCTAGAAACATGTTTATTCAGGAGTCGGCACTGAGCAAAAATTTTTTTATAAAAAATAGGCATACTCAAAAAAAGGTAGTTTTGACTCCTTGTCTCATTAAAAATATGGGGATAAATCTCTAGGCTTTTAGAGTTTCTAAGACTCTCCATGTCGCGCGATCTAATAAAGTGCTCAAATTTCTCTAGAACCATCTTCTGGTCAAGGTAAAAATCCTGCGGGCTCATTTTGTCCCACAGATTCGATAGGCCACACGGGTCAAAAAATTCTGATTTTAGTCGAGCAATCTAATTAAATTTATTACTTGGGTTATTTTTCGCAAGTTTTAATAATTTTTCAAAGCATATTTTGGGGTACCGAGAACTACTCATTAAGTAAATTTTATTGATCCAGGATAGATTAATTTTGAAAATTTTATAAGCAAGGTGTAGACTTTTTGTTTCCAATCTTACCGCGCAATTCGGAGTGCAGATAGGAAGGTTCAATAATCTTTTAAAAAAGGACAGTTGAATCCTCTCGATAAGCTCTACGAAATTTATTCCCCACACCTCGCAACCATAAAACAATGTGCTCAGTGCACAACTTTGTAAAAGGTTAGTACAAGATTCCCATGAGCTTACCCCGACCGAGAAAATAGTTCTTAAGATCGAGCCTACTGCTGTATTAGCAGCACTACTAAATTTTTTAGCGGCTGGCAAAAACGAGCAAGAGTTATGAAAGGGAACTCCTAAATAAACATATTCATTTGTCACTTCCACATAGCTCTCGCCAAATTTAATTAATTTAAACCTTTTTGCCTTCGAGTTACCGGACCTGGTAAAAATTACAGTTTTTGTTTTATTAATGTTTACTTCTAGCTGATTCAAGACACAGTAATCATGTAAAGCTCTAAGCTTTTTATTAAGTTCAATCGGTGAGTCAGCCAGGAGCACATAATCATCAGCATAACCCAACATATTAACTTCAGTAGAACTGTCAATCGAAATTCCTTTACAATCGCGCTCAATAAAAAAATCCTCCATATCAGAAATGAACAACAAAAACTCAAGTGGGCTGAGAACCTCTCCCTGCAATACCCCTCGCGTAACATTAACATTTTTAGTAAAACCGTCATTCGTTCTAATACAAGTGGAAGCCTTCGAATAAAAATCACGCTTAATGTTAATTATTTTAGAACTTAGACCAAGATAATATAGCTTATTCCATAAAAGTTGGTGAGAAACAGATGGGAAGGCCCCTTTAAAGTCGATAAATGCGGCGTAAACAACAGAGCCCGGGTTGCTTAAATGAATCTGAATAATTGACGAAAGACTAAATAGGTTGTCTACACAACTTCTTCCTTTCCGGAAACCTGCTTGTGATTCAGGGATGAGATTTCTATTTTCTCCCCATAAAACCAGTCTATTGCACAAAATTTGGGTAAAAATTTTTGCTACGCAGTTCGCTAATGTAATTGGTCTATAGTTGTCAGGATCCATGGAATCACCTTTCTTATAAAACATAATAGTGGACAAATTACCCCACTCTCTAGGTACCTCTTCTAAATCTAAAATTTTATTAAATAAATTGTTCATATATAAAATCCAGTTATTAGGCAAGTTTTTAAAAAAATTGTAGTTGATTCCAAATCAATAGGCGATTTTTGGTACAATTTAGGCCGGGATGCGTTGATAATCTTCCAAAAGTGAGAAGTAGATTTACAATTGTTCACTGCATCAACTCGAGCCTTATCAAATTTTTCTTTTTTAGACTTAATAATTTTTATATATTTATGCTTTTCTTTATAATATAAATTTCTAGATAAGTTTGAAAATTTATCACCCTTGCATATCATCAGCGCATCCTTAACACGTTTTTTAGCTGACCTACATTCCTTATCCAACCAAGGTTTATTCTTTACAAAGTTATTGTTATTTACAGAAAAAGTACACATTTCTAAACTTGAAGCGACGTCCTTTATTATTAAAATTAAAGTCGAATTCAGCCCATTTATGTCACAATTCGTATTAGCCACTTCTTTTTTGTTAGCCATGCAACACGAAAATAGATTAGCTTTTTCATTATTAAATTGAAATTTGAGTGATTTCACATTTGAAATGTTACCAAGAACAAATGAAATATCTAAAACCAGGGGAAAATGATCTGAAAGAGTGGCCAATTGAAGGACTTGTAAACCCTGAATAAAAGGAAGGGCTTCCGTCGAGCACCAAGCCAGATCTATTACGCTCGCGCCATTTGGACCCAAGAAAGTAAAATTAGCTGGGACGTCTCCCAAGCAACGACCATTAAGTAAAATGAGATCATTTAGTTATAAATTATTAACAAGAGATTTAGCCCTGCTATTTAAAATTTTATCGAGAGATACTCTTTTACTAAAAACAGAATTAGAAAATTGAAAAGAGTCATGATCCAGTTGATTTAAATCAGCCACTCTTGAATTAAAATCACCGCCTACAATTAACGGTGTATTTGGAAAGTCAGAAAAAAATTTGTCAATATTACAGTTAAAATCATCTAAGAAAGATTCAAGACATTCATCCGGAGCAATATAGATAAGACCTAGTATAAAACAAAAATTATTCGAAATCACTGTAAATTTTACAAATATTTGATTATTAAGAATTGATATTACAGTAGCTGTATACAAACGTAAGTTGAAAATCATGAGAAGGCCTCCCTTCGCTCTTCCATACTTGTTGTTTCTCGTTGCTCGAGCCTGAATATATTTGAAATCGTTATTACAAAGTAGGGGTCTGACCAAGTCCGTCTCATTCCAGGTCTCACAAATACATACAATATCCTGAGTGTTAATATTGTTCTTAATGTCAATTATGTTATTAATTCCGTGAGCATTCCAAAAAACTATTTTACCTAGCTCCAAATTATTGCATTTATGGGATACACTGAAACCAGGATTCTGAATTGCTTTTTCCTTATTATCTCGTT